CAGCTCCCCGGCCCCCCGAGACCCTGCCGGGGCGGCGGGGCGCGCCCCGCGGGCGGAAACCTGCTGTTTTGCTAACGTTACCTCTGTTAAACGTATTGTTTTAAAGAGCATTAAAAAAAAAAAAACATCGTTCAGACGTCGAAATTCCCACTCTGAATTTAGGTTCCTTCTACTGTAGCTCAAACCTTATCGGGGTCTTCTACAGCAGTTCAGCCTGTAATTTACAGCCAGAGCCACTTCTGATAGGAGCAACAGATGCTCATAGGCTTGTAGAGGAGGAGGAACGCACCCATCTGCATTTACATTGAAGAACGGCCCTGTTGGCACAGCTGCTCCCAGCAGCACACGTATATACTCTTTTGTATAACGCGTAGCTCAACACCGGCGCGTGCTCTCCAGGGCACAGCTTTGTCTCAAAGACCCATTCCAGGAGACTAAAACGTAGAGCAAGCTCCGAGCAACCTCCATCAGCAGATCGGTTTCCTCTTCACAGAGCGTTGCGTAAGAAAACCTTGACACACAGCGTGTCTCCCCACAACCGAGCATTTATTCACATGATAAGAAAAAGAATTTGTAGGATTATGCATGCAGCGTGATGCTGAGCCCCTGAAATCTGGCAGCTTGTGGAAGTACCGCTGCCCCTCCTTCAGGATACATACGTAAAACCAGTATTTTTCATGGAATACATACCTGATGAATACAGACATCACAAGTGATGTGTGCGGCTACGTATAGCAAAATGTCAACAGCTGTCCTGTAGCATGATCCTAGGGAAAAAAAAGAGAGTAAAAAGCATAAAAATTGAGTGCCTGGAAGAGAAATGCTCTTGCTTTTTCTGTCCTACAACATCCAGTGTGTAAAAAGTGTCTACATACAGAGCTTTCCAGTAGAAAGAACTACAAGGGTAGTTCCGACTCCATTATCAGTTTCACATTCCTATATGGAAACTTCCCTCCAAAACTCCCAAATGTCAAGAAATCGCTGACTCTGAAAGAAGCTGTTTAACTAGAGTGAAGTTAATATGAAGACATTTCTGGGAGGAGGTCTAGGCATTTGGCCTTGACCTAGGAATTCCTCCCTTGAGAACACTTCTTCACTCTGCTCTGAAATGATTCGGAAAGTCTTCTCTCTCTAACAGACCGCAATGTAGACGGAAGTTAGGATTTGGCAGCCGGAAGATATCGTGCTGTACGGAAAGATAAGGCCCCTCTCCTAGTAGCCAATAGCGTTTAGTGTGTGATGTAAGCAGACGGAAGTGACGTCATAAGCCTAAGGTATATATTGCTGTGTTACCTATCAATAAACGCCATTTGCCGTCCACCACATTGGTGTCTGTGAGCTGATGGCCCGAGCAGCTCAGGGTCGGTCGCCGTACCGTTCCTGAACCAGGTCGCCGCGCCTTACGAAGGCAACACCGCAACAGCCTACAAAATATCATACGAGGCAATTCTTCGGGTACTGTATTCATCAGCTCTCTGTTAGAAGAAGCGGAAGGTGAAAGGTTGTCAGCACCTGAAGGGAGTGGGTTAGTATTCGGTTGATACCAAGACGCTTCTTTCTTTCAAGGCTGAAGAACCAATTCCAAAGTTTTGTTAAAAACAGATGTTTCAGGCTGATGGAAGAGATTACCATATTTAGCTGGGAAGCCCTGCGTGTTAACATCTAGGAAGAAAAATAAGGTTGCATACCCGATGAATTATCTGTTGGAAGTTTGATAAATGCAATTGGTCTAACTGTTATACAATACCTTAAAGAAAATCTGAACTAACTTACTCTTGGTCAGAGAAGTAGATTAACAACCATCATAAACTATTAAAGCCTATAGATTGGTATACGTTCTTTGAGTAGTATCTAGTGCAAGCAGGTTCCCCTGTAGAACGGAACTTTCAGGAAGCTGCAAGAGTTTATACGCCGAGTGCACCAACAGGCTGCAATAGCCCTGACCAGCCTCACCTGGGTCCTCACCCACAGCCTGCCCGGGGGACCCATTTAAGCTCAGCTCTGAGCCACCAGTCCTTGTTGGAGCCCTGTTGTAGCTCTGCCTGTCTGTTGGGCGGCTGTTATGGTGCAGCCCTGCCCGTACCTTGTCGTGGACCCTGACCTGTAGGTTGACTTCCTAGCTTGATCTCAGACCTGTCTTTTTGTTGTGGATGTGGCTGGTTGCTGGGCTGGACCCCGAGTTGCGTTCCCAGCACGACCTGGGAACTTCTCTCGCTGCTGCGGATGCCTGTTCTCCTTGCTCAGCTGCTGCAGGACGGGCCTTGGCTGGTGAGACCCTGCCCTGCTTGTCTGTGTCGCTGAACTCAGCTTCCCGCTCTTGGGGCGAGAGCCGGCCCTTGCCGTGCCCTGCTCATCCTGAGATGGGAACCGCTACAACAGAGAACGGGGTGGTTGCCCAATGACTTTAGGAGGTTTGATTCGGATGCAATTGTCATCCAAAAAAGCCTGGCTCTGTTCAGGGGCTATATTTACATTCTGAAACTGGTGATTTGAAGGTCTTCTATACTGAGTATAACCTTCTTGATCAGAAAGAGTCAAAGTCAAGACTGTCAGGAGTATAGATTTCTAAATATATTTAGACTCTTTAATCAGAAGATTCTCAAAATAGCAGAGGAGTCTTTCAAAAAAGGATAAACACTGTGGGTAATGCAACAATCCTGTGCTGTCATTGACGTAAAGCTTCTGCAAGTTTAAAGCACTGGAGTTTTATTTTTGGAAAAATTCATAAATCTTTAAAGAAGTCGGATCTTGTCTGAGCAGGTACGAAAACTCAAAAATTCAAGAAAAATCAGCATTTTTCAAAATACCGCAGTTACACCAGGATAAAACAAATAATTCAAAGGCTGTTTGCTCTCCCGAAGAATGTAAGATTTCAGTCACAAGACTGCAGGAGTTAACAGGGAACTCCCTTCAGGGACAGGTGAAGCCCGGGGTCTCTGGGATTTTTAATTCCTCCAAAGCACCAGTGTATGTGTCCTTGTTGGAGGCGGTACTGCTGTGACCTGTGTTCATCCACTCAGCCTATTTGTTTCCTGCGGCACCATTCCCCTGCTGGGCACTTCTGTTTCTGACCTGTAGCTCTTTTTCTTGAGGGTTGTGGCATCAGAAAAACTTTGAAACACTTCCTGGGTTTGGCTTTAGAGGCATCGGCTGCTCTTGCTCTGACATCAGGTCTGGGCTACAGCCTGTACCCAGATCCGTGCGTCCAGCAGCAGTCAGTTGTGAGCACTCTATCTTGGTCACTGAAGAGATTGATTTGGATGTCTGAAACCAAATTAAACTAAAAAGTGAGCTCAGCGGGACCTAAATGCAGCGTGGGTAAGTAAACCCTGTAATCAGGGCACTTCTCATGCTGCTTTAAGAAATACATGGTGAAGTCTCAGTCCTCCAAATACGTTTGTACGTGTTTAGTACAAACCCACAGGAGCAGACCCTCTGATTACCCTCCGAATGACCACTGCCTCCATGTGGCATGGCTATTTAAAGCTGTGCTGTAAATAAAGCTCAGGTAACAGCCCCAACCCTACGAGGTGTTCTGTGCCCTCCAAAATGGTGATGTGTCACAGGAAAAGTCAGAACACAGCTGAAGCGTACCCAGCTTAACCTCCACTGACAATATTAAATCACGATTTCTTAATTTGTAAACAATATTTATCTGTATTACAGCACTGATCTTTCTGAATTGGCATAATACCTTTTTCACACTAAACCAGCCCAATGCTGTGTGCTAGAAAAGACAAGTACCGATAAAGAAAAATAAATGAAAAATAATAAAAGAATCTGAATTTAACGTAGCTTGTTGTTATATGATAGTAAGATTTCAAA